GGACAAGATCCAAGCCATCGTGGATTGGCCGGAACCCCGTTGCACTACGGATGTACGCTCTTTCATGGGTTTGGCTGAATATTATCAGCGATTCGTCAAGTCATACTCGAAAGTGGCCGCTCCTTTGTCAAGACTTCAGTCCCCGAAGGTGCCCTTCGAGTTCGACGACGCAGCCCATGGCGCGTTCAGTACGTTGAAGGCAGCGATGCAAGCCGCACCTGCCCTCCGTATATACGACCCCACCCTACCCACCCAAGTGACTACAGACGCTTCGGGGTACGGTATTGGTGCGGTGTTGGAACAGTGTCACGAGGACGGTTGGCATCCGGTTGAGTATTTCTCCCAAAAGGTGCCTCTCGTCAACACTCTCGACGACGCTAGGAAGAAAGAGCTACTTGCGTTCGTCACCATTCTCAAACGGTGGCGCCACTTTCTTCTCAGCCGTCGACGGTTCAAATGGAATACGGACAACAATCCGTTGACCTTTTATAAAACACAGGACACGATCACTAGCACGATCGGTCGATGGATGTATTACATCGACCAGTTCGATTTTGACCCGTGTCACGTTCCCGGTCCGGCCAATCGAGCTGCGGACGCCCTCTCACAACGGCCCGACTTGCTTACGCTCTACTTTTTCGTCCTGTCAAAAAAAAAAAAAAAAAGGTTTAAAAATTAAAAAAACCGAAAAAAAACTGTACCTCCACGTATGCTCATCTGCAAGACGGCACTACCAGTACCCAAAGTTGTACCCTTTTGTCTCTTTAATGTCGAAATTCCAAGTCCGTAAGCCCATTCATCCTTTGCGCTACTTTCTCGTCGTGTGGCATACTTACAAATCTGTTCCTCCAAGTCTGCTGATTTGCAAGCGTCTCACTCTTAAAGGTTTGCATGGAATCGCAGCCACGAACAAGGTTAGCAGCAAAACACATTCAAATTTCAAATGCTGATTTGCAAGCGTCTCACTCTCAAAGGTTTGCATGGAATCGCAGCCACGAACAAGGTTAGCAGCAAAACACATTCAAATTTCAAACACAGGGAAGATCAAAATCTGTAAACAACATCACATTGTGATGTGGACATGCAGGAAACTCAGAAGAAAACTCAGAAGAACACAGCAAAATTGTGATTGCAGAGCAAAGGGCCAGGCTACTTCAGAGGAAGCGAGAGACTCACAGAAAGCCGAAGCATTCACCAGGTGGGATTCCCAGTGAAAGATTGGAAACAGCCACCTTAACTCCACCGGCTTTGTCTCCTCGAAACACCTTGCTCAGATCAGAGATCACCACCACATCATTACTACCAGCCCCACTCGCAACTCTTACCCTCTCCGTTGCAACATCCACATCTTCATCAACATGAAAGGCTGCACTCAGCCACCGCAAAATCCACAAAAAGACGGTATGAGTCACCTCGCATCCACCCGAGTTGCATGCAGCAAAAGCCTAGCCTCAGGCATTCAGACAAAACAACAGCAAGCAGCAGGAGTTGTGTGCTGTCGACTGTCAGAGGGAAACAACAATGAGATGGTAATCTCCTTAGAATCCCAGTTCTTGGGTGATGGCGTAGGTCATTTCATCGAGTGATAAAATGTCCATGGAAACTTATCCCTGTTCGTATGCAGTCAATCAACTTCTTCTCCTGAGAACATTTCGAATTCATTCGACATTTGAGATGTTCAAGCAAAAAATCATGGGGGAAGCAAGAGAAATTACGAAGGCTGGGAAAGGGCGAATGGGAAAAATCATAAACATGATGAAGAGATACCATTGGGGTAGCAAAGTAGGTGAGAAGAGCAGTGACTCATAGCACAGATCAAGGGGAGAGCAGTTAGGTTTGAAAACTGATTTGGAACACACAGAGACACATGAAGAGGAGGAATATCTGGATCACAAACAATGAAAGAGTCCGCAAATGCTACGAACAGCCGCTGGAGCCAGAGCAGCGAGTACTGGTGGCGAAGGCAGCGGATAGCAACAGCGGGTGGCAAGCAGGGGCAGGACTCTCTCTCTCTCTCTCTCTCTCTCTCTCTCTCTCTCTCTCTCTCTCACACACACACACACACACACACACACACACACACACACACACACACACACACACACAAGTATATGTATATCTTCCTTCCTGCTTTTTATTCTTACTTGTGTGTGTCTAAGTGAGAACCGCTAAGAAGTGCAAATAGCTGGTGGTTGTTTGGAGTGCCTCCAACACTATCAAAGAATTGAAAGGGGCTGCTCTGTTCAGGATGTATCTGGATGCCTGTTCCACGGGTGACCAACATTTGTTGGAGTGGCTTGTTGGCCCCAAGGGTGGTGGGAACTAACAGTCTGTGATGTCCTGTGTGCGTTGCGTGTAGGTGATGTGCTGCTTCAGTCTGTGTTGCTTGTGTGGACTGCCTGGTCTGCGCTGCCTCCCTGCCTTGCTGCCAACCTGCTTGACTTGTATTGCCGAAGTTTCAATGCGGTTTGCCTTGTCGTTTCGATGCCTTTCGCTTTGCTGCTTTTCTCCCCTGCTTCATTTTGTCTTGCGGCCTTTTGCCTCACTGTATTATGCTGCTGCCTTATGCCCCGATGCTTTGTGTTTCGGTGCCTCACCACCATTTGCTGCGCTACCTTTCGCCTCGCTGCCTTTAGCCTCACTACCTTTTGCCTTGATGCCTTGTATGTCCATGCTGGTTGCCTGGTCATTTGGCTACATTCGCCTTGCCACTTCTTGCATTGTGGCCTTTGACCTTGATGCCCTCTACCTCACTGCCTTATCTTTATGCGCTGCTTGACTCACTACCTTTTGCTTCCCTGCCGTTGTCTTGCTGCCTTGGTACTTTGCTGCCTCGCTGCTTCATCGTGCCGCTGTACTGCTTGCTGTGTTGTTTATCTGTACCCTCCATCCTAGGTGCCTTGCTGCTGCTTGTCACCCAATGCCATGTTGCCTCGCCCTCGCTGCTTTCATGCTGCTGCTGGTTGTCCGCTTAGAACAGGGGTTAAAAGAGTTCATGACTAAAAGTGCGAGGATTTGACCCCTCGGCAGTACTGGGAAAAGGCCTTGCCCGCTCTGAGTGAATGCGGGCCTGCCAACATGTGCCAAGGCCTGGGTACAGGCCAGTGTCATCACCCTAAAGGGGTCATATATGTGCGGGGAATGAGCCCTCACGGGGCCCTTAACAGACATGCACATGTTCTGGACAGAGGCCCTCAGCAAGCCCTGCGCCCGCCCTAAGTGAAGGCGGGCCTCAATATTCACAAGAGGCCAAGATTTGACATTCTTTCATATGTGGGTATCAGACAGTTGCAGCATGTCAGTTGGTTACAGAGCAACGTGAGCTTCTCCAGGCTCTTTCCGGAAGTTGCAGCCTCGACGGGCAGTTGAGCCCAGGGCCCCGTACAGTTAAGGCCCTGGGCGTGTGCTTTCAGAGGCCGACACATCATACAACAGCCACGTACCAATGAGGTTGCAGCATTGCTGGCACAAAGTGGCCGTGAGCCAATGAGATCACAGCGAACATGTGGAGGCCCGTGGACTGCCTGGACGTGCCCAACTGTAAAGGGCCCAGGCCCGTAACTGCAACTGGGCCTGCACGCAGGCACTGAGGCCCGACTGGAAGCTATTGGATGCTCATCCAGTGTTACATGCCCAGTCGGGCGATGTACATAAATAACCGAGGATCCGCAATGTGATAAAAAGGACTGAATGGACAATGCAGTGCAAGTGAAATCTCAACAAGCAGTGTACATCCTGGCGATGTACAAAAATGGTGCTTTATAGCGCAGGGGAAGACTTAGATACAAGTCCTGACCTGACCGGGACTGACCTTTATCACGTAGTGCAAGACAGCGCAGCAGAATGCTCGAATTTCAATGACTAGCCCAATCAATGTCGCAACGCAGACCAAACATACATCATCCTCATCACAAGGTGTGAAGGGGCCTGGCGCTACACACAGGAAGAATGTGCCAGGTCCAGATCATGCACAGAGGAGGGGAACAGACGAAGAAGAGGGGGAGAGATGGGAATGTCGTCAACGCCAAGTCTTCGTTACAAGTCCCAAATAATCCCTCGTCGAAATGTCTGAAGCCCAATGTCGAGTCTGGATCCAAATGTCACCAACCCCGCTCTCTGGTAGTCTGCAGACGCAGTGAAGTCAGGTAGCGAGAGGGTGAGAGGGAGATGGTGGACTGAGAAGAGGAAGAAGAACTCTCTCTCTCTCCCATGTGCCAGGTACTAACCTATGAAGATGGTGCTGTGCTGCAGGTACCTCGAAGATGAAGCTGGAGCTATGGCGCTACAGGTAGGTCTCCCTGGCCTCCGCCCAATCTCTCTCTCTCTCTCTCTCCAGTACTACTCTAGCTCCTACTAGCGCCCAGCGCTGAAGACTACTGCTAACACTACTAGCGCCCAGCGCTGAAGACTACTGCTAGCGCTACTACTACTCCTGCAGCGCTCCTCCAGAGTGCTGCTGCCGAATCCTGAAGACTACCTCCTGCCTCCTGAACTGCACGTGAAGTGCCTGGGAAGTACCTAGGAACTACCTGCAGCCTGCAGGGCAGGCCAGTTCTATATAGTGCTGGCCGTCCAGGAGGCTGCTCTTGCCAATGCCGAAACGTGCCAGACCCTGAGTCTTTTCAGCCTGAAACGGAGGGCAATTTTCAGGCCCTCATGAGGGCATCCGGGCTTGTTTGGCCGAAACTGTCTGCTGCGACTGACCTGTGCGTAGAATGAACAGGGGGTACTGTTTTTGCATAGAACAGCAGCTATTTGTAAAAAAAATTTTTTGCTGACTTTTGTTTTTCGTTCTTTGTTTGTTTTTTTATTGTTTCTTTTGTCTTTTCTGTTTTCTGTTTTTCTCGAACGCGCGATAGGTTTGAACTGATGTAAGGCCTTACTGGGTGGCAGGATTATGGGATAGCATGTTTCTGGTCTAGTCTTTCTGCGTGATACTTGGAACGTTTCCCGACCTTGTTTCTGTCCTCTGCCAGTATCTGGAACTTTTCTCAGGTCTGACGTTCTAGAATTTTTTGTCTTTGAATCTGGACTACTTCGCTTCTCCGGCCATCGGGGTTGACGCTCCGTTCTGGCTACTTATACTCCCAATCTATATCTCATCGCGAGTCATCGGTCCCTCTTCCTGCGACTTTTTGAAGACCCCTGATGATTCCGGTTGGCAGCCGGATGAAACGCAGCGTAGGGTCACTACGCCTTGTCGGTCTATTCCACGTTGATTTTATGGCCGACTGACGGCTGTTTTTAATGATTATCTTTCGGCCGCTGTGGTCGCGTTCGGGAGCGATTGGGTGTACTTTTTTCTTCTTGCTCTTTTTCTCCTCCTCTTCTTTGTTTTGAGTCAAGTGTATGCCAGTCATTGAATGCTGACCTCATGAGGGGGGAAATGTTGCTCACCCGAGGTATAAACAAGATCGATCAGCATTCAATGACTGGCATACACTTGACTCAAAACAAAGAAGAGGAGAAAAAGAGGAAGAAGAAAAAAGTACACCCAATCGTTCCCGAATGCGACCACAGTGGCCGAAAGATAATCATTAAAAACCGCCGTCAGTCGGCCATAAAATCAACTTGGAATAGACCGACAAGGCGCAGCGACCCTACGCTGCGTTTCATCCAGCCGCCAACCGGAATCATCAGGGGTCTTCAAAAAGTCGCAGGAAGAGGGACCGATGACTCGCGATGAGATATAAAGTGGGAGTACAAGTAGCCAGAACGGAGCATCAACCCCGATGGCCGGAGAAGCGAAGCGTAGTCCAGATTCATAGACAAAAAGTTCTAGAACGTCAGACCTGAGAAAAGTTCCAGATACTAGCAGAGGACAGAAACAAGGTCGGGAAACGTTCCAAGTATCACGCAGAAAGACTAGACCAGAAACATGCTATCCCATAATCCTGCCACCCAGTAAGGCCTTACATCAGTTCAAACCTATCGCGCGTTCGAGAAAAACAGAAAACAGAAAAGACAAAAGAAACAACAGAAAACAACAAAAAACAAACACAGAACAAGAAACAAAAGTCAGCAAAAAATAAATAAATTACAAATAGCAGCTGTTCTATGCAAAAACAGTACCCCCTGTTCATTCTACGCACAGGTCAGTCACAGCAGACAGTTTCGGCCAAACAGGCCCGGATGCCCTCATGAGGGCCTGAAAATTGCCCTCCGTTTCAGGCTGAAAAGACTCAGGGCCGGAAAGACCCTGTTTTAGGCTGAAATGACACAGGGCATGTAGGCCCTTGTTCTCAGGCTTTCAGACTGAAACGACACAGGGCCTGTAGGCCTTTGTTTTCAGGCTTTCAGGCTGAAAACGACACGGGCCTGAAAATGGCCCCTGCAGCCTGTTGCAGGCACAGCATGTAACACCCAGCCAGAACCAAAGGCAGCAGAGGCTGAGCTCACTTTCCATATAGGAAAGTGAGCATCGCTGGGCAGGGCATTCTGGCCTAGGCAGGCAACGTGGCCACGCTGCTGCGTTGCTTTCCATATAGGAAAGTGAGCATCGCTGGGCAGGGCATTCTGGCCTAGGCAGGCAATGCGGCCACGCTGCTGCATTGCACCTTCGTGATCTGCACGAAGCTGCCGGCTGGGTCGTGCACACCGGCATCACTGCTGGGCAGTGGGCGCACGGCAGCCATAGCCGGGCTGTTGGGCGCAGGTCTGGACGGCGATGGTGGTCTTTGGGTGTTGAGAATGCACACTGTGGGAAGTCAGGGGTGATGAGTAGAGACGAGATACATACCTGGTGCATGAGGGAGGTCAGCTATGGTGTTGACGTCATGTACATTGGTCTTCAAGGTCGAAGTGAGCCTGTTGCGTGAACGCTGGTGTAATAGGATAGGCGAGTAGCGTAGGCTGGGCGCTGGGTGCCAGACAGAGTAGGAGCGACATTGGATACGGCGTTGGTGTGGCCTGAGGGCTTGGACATTGGCTCGTGAGTTCATTGTATTGCTCTTATATGGATGGAATCTTGGTGCACTTGCACTCTCTACTCGCACATGACTACTTGGACATCTGTGTGATTTCGCAACTTGGGTTTCTGTATATCGCTCTTGCTCATATTCCTTGCAAAAGCATCAATATGGGGAGTCGAGAGAGGCGGTTAACGGAGACACAAAATTTTAGCGTTTTTTTAATGCTATTTACAAGAAAACCTGAAGGCCTTTTTAACCAAAAATTGCATCATTCCATAGGGTGCACACCATATTAACAACCACAAAAACAAAACAAAACAAAAAAAAAAAACAGAGGGTGAAAAACGGTAAGGCAAAATAATTTTCAGCGGTTTTTGGAAATGGTCACAACAGACAATTCCAATAGACAAAAACACTTGCGAACATTGAGAAATGGTCACCAGACTCAATTCCAACAGTCGAAAAAACAAAAATCACAAAAAAATTGAAACAAATGAAAATTTTGGCAAAAAAAAACTGATTTCAGCAATGAAAACAGTTTACCCCGTTAACCACTGGTAGATTTCCTTCTTTTTCCAGTTCTTTCTCGTCCTTCATTCTTCTGTGCTTTGTGGCCTTTGCATGGCAATGTCTTGCATATCTTCCATGGGCATACCGCGCTGCAGGCTCTTTTTCGAGTGTTGTTTTAAAGCATACTGTACGATATAACATGCCGCCATACAATTGTGGACTATTTATCCCCAAACACACACACACAAACATGTCGGGCAGCCACTGCCTCGGGAGGCTGGGCGAGAAAGTGATTGACGGCGGTGTAGGGGAGGTGTGGAAGACGGCGTGCAGCACCTAGAGGAAGGAAAGGCCACGGCAGGCACACACACACACACAGAGAGAGAGAGAGAGAGAGAGAGAGAGAGAGAGAGAGAGAGAGAGAGAGAGAGTAATCACCTCTCTGATTCATGATGTAGAAACGCCTTGAGAGAGTGAATGTGAGCTGCCGCTGAGACCCGTACATCCTCGATATCTTTATCCCACAATCTCGCACCAAATTCTGAAGCCACTGGAGAAAATCCTTGTCTATGGCCAGAGTTGCTAGAAAGAATGCAATAGCTTCTAGAAACATTATCACCATAGGCCGGCCGAGATTTTTCCATCTGAATGGGTTTGCCAATTCATCATCTAGTATGGACTCCAAATCAAGGGTTGATAATGAAATCAGCCCTTCACCGAAATTGAAGGGAGGAAACAACCGGTACAAATGCACCATCATATCATTGATACCCTACGCATTTATTATAGAACAAACATCACAGCCAAGATTTTCGAGTAGGGGGCAGCAGCGGAACACAAGCAAAACAGATACCACACAGACAACCACAATGGACAGACACCAAAAGCATGGGGCAAAGTTAGGTAACTGCCATCCGTTCATCCATCCTCCCAAAATTACAAGGGGCACAGTTTACAAAGGCAGTACATCCATCTTATAACAGCTGTTGTCTTACATAACTAGACGCATGGAAGATCATTGCAAACAATTCAGTTTAAACTTTTACGTTTAAACCAGCGTTGGTCCCCCGGCAGCCCGGCTGGGGGAAGGTTGCCCAGGTACCTACCCAGGCAGACACATACGGACAGGGTTCAGGGAGGGTCCTGGGCAGTCCCAACGCATTAAAAAGAAAAGAGTCAAAAACATGTATAAAATTGCAAAACAAACAACTTTTGGCTGAGGTTCCCCTCAAAATTCCTTATTAAGTTATTAATTTTAAGACAAAACGAAAATAAAAACATGACGAACCCAACTGATTTCTGCACCATATCGCAGTTGCTGCACACAGAAAGCTCACAACCATTCACCCAAGCACTGAGATGGCAAGTCGGCACACACACGGAAGAAAACCCCTCGAAACACTTGATATGACACAAGGAATGAGTTCGACTACATGCAGTTAATGGGCGCTATCGCCAGTATCAACAAAACCTCTCTCTCTCTCTCTCTCTCTCTCTCTCTCTCTCTCTCTCTCTCTCTCTCTCTCTCTCTCTCTCTCTCTCTCTCTCGGTATGCTCTCTCAATGCTACAAGCGCTCAACCTCACTTGCTCTCTCTCTTGTTCTGAATCCTTGGACAACTCACTCCACTTCCTGAATACACTCGGCTCTCTCTCACTACCCTACTTGGCTATGGCAGACATCTTCCTCTAGCTCAACCCTAGCTATGGCTCCTATCGCCCTTTTCTTGCCTCGCCAATCTCGGACTGCCCAACCCGTTGGTCGCAGACGTCCTAAAGCAGGGCTTCCACGACATGCGGACTGACAAGTGGCCCAAACAGGAACTGTAGCATCTGTAAATAGTAGCTCTTGGTGACCTTCCTCTGCTCCGGACCAGTAACGGTTCCCGCGGCCTGTCGGCTGCACGGAAGGCTCCGGACTTTACTTGGATGCTGCTGCAACACATGACTTTTTGGACTTTGGGCTGTTCTGTCGGGTACCAGGCTAGACTTCTACTGAACTGTGGCTGCTCGACTACTGGACTCTACTGGTCTCCTACAGACCTCCAGGACCCTAAGTCTGGAACCTGTAGGGACCTTTGGGACTGTGACCAATTGGGACCAGTGGGACTGGGACCAACTGGAACTCTGGGACCACGACTCGCGACAATGACACAGCATGAAATCCTTAACACTTAAAGACGGCCTAAGGGTCCCTATCTGCAATGTCCAATCCTCTTCCAGTGCTCTCATAGTAGGAGACTATATTAGGGGCAGTTTCTTTTAGTTCGTTCATGGTGTACCAACGGTCATCTTCTGGTTCCTGGTACTGGAACCAGACCTTGTACTGCTGCTGTGGTCTTCCCCTTTGGCCTGACCTGTATTCATCTTCCTTTACAACATGGTCGATATCATACCTTCCATCCATATCCATGGGTATCTGTTACGGACTCCGCCAGGGCTCGATCCCTGGTCTATCTTTTTGTCGTTTCGGCTGCATCCCGTTTTCGGCCTGGCACCCTTTTTCCAAACCCCTCCTTTGGAACCAAAGGATTTTGGACAACTGGCGCCATGCTGCAATTCGGGCGCCATTTTCAAATACCGCATTTTTCAGTTCTGCCCTCGGGGCCTTTGCAGAAATGGCCCTGGTACCATACGTGTCACCGGTACTTATACCGGCTCCCCGTACGATATGGGGACCAGTCTGGTACCATTTTTCAGCTGCTGTGCTCGTACTCAGTGTGACTTGCTCCTGTTTCGGCATTGGAAATCCAAGACTTCGACTTTGTGTCTTTGCCACTGTGTCTGCGTCCGACCCTCAATCGTGTCGAGTGAGTGAGTGTGTGTGTGTGCTCTCTCTCTCCCTCTCTCTCTCCTCCCCCTCGGCTCTTCCTGTTTTCCCTCAGCCTCGCACATGTCACACTGGTATCGGAGCGGTTCGAACCCGCCCGACCCACCCTGCTTCGTCGTCACCACCTGGCCATCATCAGCATCATCGTCGTCGTAGTGCCACGTCGTCGTCGTGATCATCGCCGCCGTGCCATGTCATCATCGTCGTCGTCGTGCCATGTCGTCATCGTCACCGTCGCGATCGTCGTCGTCGTGCCACGTCGCCATCGCCGTGCCCGTCGTCCTCGTCGCTGCGCCGYGCCATCCTCGTCATCGTCGTTGCTACCTCCGCGCAGATAAGTAATCGACGACAATTTTTTTTTTTTCTTTTCTGTTCTTTTCTTCTTCTTCTTCTTCTTTCTCTTCTTTCTCTTCTTCTTTTTCTTCTTCTTCTTCTTCTTCTTCTCCTTATCTTCCTCTTCTTCTTTCCTTCTCCCCCCCAAACCCCGACGATCTTTCCCCGCCCCGACCTCGATCTCCCCATCCCTTTCCCCCCCCGCAATCCACTAGTCCCCCCCGCACGTTTCCCCTTCCCCGCGCGAATCTCCCTCCCCCCTCCACGCGATCCCGACTTTACCCCCC